AGCTAAGGCGTGAAACAAAAGTCCACACATTAGTACTTTCACGGACATTCTGCCTACGCGTGGTGAATTCGACCTTCGGGGGGCGAAGGCTGGATTTCGAAGGTCGAACAGTCAATTCGAGAGCTTGATAGCGTCCACCTGTATTTTAAGCTTAGCACCCAGTTCCAGTGAGGCAGCACTCAACTGAGTGCAGCAGTGATTGGGCCATGGAAAGAATGAAGGAGGAACCAATTCAACTGTAGTTTTCAGACAGCTTTGAGTCAGGAACTTCGATTCCGACTAGTAAAAATTTATCAGCGCACCGTTTCTGACTAAATTGCACGCACTTGTTTAGGAAAGAGTTATTGGTGGTCTGCCATTAAAAAACATGTCCGTTAGCACTGATTTGCAGTACCTGTTAATGCTTGACTTCTTTCCGAAGTGCAAACACTGTCAGCGCATGTTCACAGGGCGGATTGACCTCATCAGATATCTCGGCATCCATCGGAGCGTACCTGTTTTCAACCATCCACTGCTATATAGAGCACAAAAGTCAACTGAGAAAAACAGTCTCAATTTGCTCATACTTTTCAATCATTGGTCACCTTTTCTCGGTATCTCCGAGGCCACGATAGAGCGGAAGCCGTCGAAACGGAGGACAGAGTTAAACAGCACAAAAATCCAATCATAATTCTCAAGCACGCGCTGGCCTGGTTGGATATCTGCATATGAATCGTGGGGGACCCCTACTAAAAGTGTCAATATTAGCCTATTCAGTTGCAGGCATGCATACCAAAAGGTCACACACACACACAGAACTCGTGTAATGAACCTCAATGAAGCTGGTCATCGTCGACCAAGAGGGGTGGCTCATGACACAAAGTAAACATAGCCTGTTTCTTACGCACAGCTGGAACAAGTTAATTCTGCACAGAGTAGTTGCGCAACTGGGGACAACAAAGTGTTTTCATGACGATGTCCAGCAGAACCTCTGCACGACTTACTGTAGGAAAATGGATCAGTGAAAGGCAGTAAAGTCAAAAACCTCAGTTTATACCACCTTAACTGCAAGTAAATGCAAGTCTACTGCTACTGATCTACGCGTAAATCACCGCGTTTTCTTTCACCTGGCTAAGGCATGCGGTGGACATCGTCGAAATAGAGTGTTATGCGCAAAAACTGGGGTGGTAGGTCTACCGTTGACCCAGAGTCATCCATCGATTGAAGTTAACAGAGTTCATTTCGAAATGAACAGTCAGCAGGCCCTGGAACAAGACAAAAACGATATATCAGGCTGTCCGAGACGAATGAACAAGGTGGTTTCGGCCTGTTTTGCGTCGTCCGTGGCATGAGTTTAGTGTTGCTAATGCTGATATGGTGTGGCTGTCCTCAAATGAATGTTCACTTGTACTGATCGAGTTTAAGGCGGCAAGTCACTGAAGATTCAATTCTAGTGCGTAAGCTACTCTAAAATGAGGAAGTGAAAGGGAAACCAGGAATGGGGCAAAATCAAGCTGAGAATATGTGCCTGGAGATACCTGCAAGTTGAGCGAAAACAAGGCTGCCTAACGAGTAATTACACCCCGAACTTATACAAACCCCCAGTTCTCGAAGTATTGCCAGAAATTATTAAGTTGAAAGCGTCAGGCACCTGGATTAGACAGTTCTGCTTAAACGGACAGACGCAAATAGGAAATTCGGAATAAGATCAACGTTAAAGAAAACTATGGGAAAACTGGAAAAATTACTCTAGAGCCTCGTATTATGGTCTCCTTTTACAAAGAAACTAATTATACTACCTTGTCTTGACTGCATACACTGACAGTTTAGAAAATGTGGGCGGGAACAGGACATGCCGATAATAACCGATTGAAAACACTGGAAAGACAACCAACGTCTAACTATAACGGAAGCGCCAAATCAATAGCTGGACTCTATTGATGGAAAATTCGTCTAAGGGTTTTGGTGATGAAGAAATTCGTGATTAACCATTTCCCACTCTATAGGAGACGAGAAGCCTTTGTGACCTCGGTTAAAGCGTAAAGAAGGTCAACAAAAGTACATATGAGTTGGAAAACTAAAATTACAAGTGGGGAGGAAAATCAGCTCACCTTGCAGTGCAATGATAAAGTCACGCTGAAGGAGGGGCTCGAGGAATTTGTTGATTTGACTATGTTGCGAATGTGACATGCGGGAGAGAAGACAGCAGAGAAACTCAACCTGGTCCTGATCAGACCAATGTTCAAAGGTGTCAATGCACAGTTTCTGCTCGGCCGAAATGCGGGAGTTGTAGGAACGAGGTCGTTTCTTCTTCTGTACGCTCACATCAATGTCCATATCGGTGATGGAACGCTTGATATTGGAAATAGAAGTTCTCTTGACCTACCGAAAAAAAGAAGTAAAATTCCAAGCTTAAAAGGTAGTCCCGATACAGCAGACGTCAGAGAGTTGTTGCGCTGTTTGCCAGGTGAAAAAATCATATACTCAAGTGGCTTCTGGCAATTTATCTATAAAACAAGTGCAGAAGACGTGCGTATCGGCAGCTGGCCCACTACAAACACCAGTTTTAGAACAGTTTAAGAAAGTAGTTAACGCAAACAGCCACTTTATAAGAAGGCTTAGCTAAAAGTAGTCTACTTTAAGGTTAAGAGAATAATCGTTTAAGGCACAAAAAATCGAAAATGACGGCCTTAGGGGGTCAATTGAAGTGTTACTGAGAATTACGCGAAAACTGAAGTTGAAGTTTATTTTGCATCAGCAGACAATGCTAGAGGAATCCAGAGCCCAACTCGTCTGGGATTTGAAACAAACTCCATTGATCGGTGAGCAGCGCTCCCAGCATTACATTAAGAGCCTATGCTACGCCATCTAAAGTGGGAATTTTGTTGAAGGTAACGACTTTCAATCATTTATTGATCGTCTGTACATCAGAACTCTAAAGTACAAAGTAATCGCCCGCAGCAATCTTCGCAAGTTGAAGCGGCAGTCTACCTAAGCTTACTCGAGTTACTTTGGCGCACGAAAAACCTTTTTGTTAAACACCTTAACTGAGGATAACAGAGCCAAGTGCAGCTCACTAGTAAGATGGGTGACGGGCAGGATTACTAATTTTGGCAATAAGGCGTTGTTATTGTTAAAAAATGCGGGCTGCCTACGGCTTTTCATTTTGCTGTCAGTTAAGTTCAAGAAAGTTGGCGAAACTTTATAGCGTAGATAACAGAAAAAGTAATGTCTCGAAGACCCCAGAACAGAAATTTTGCTCCTGATCAGAGTATATGGTCGCCAACAAGATTAAAGGGCAGGAAAAATCGCGAAACTGGGATGACCCTTGCCGGTAAAACCTTCCGAGCGTTAGTAATCCGCTGTGCGAGTGAGCAATAAAGATTTTCATAGAAGTTATGGTAGCAAATTTGGAAGAGGTTTCGGCCTACGGAATATGCCCTACTTGCTGTTATTTGTAGTTAGTCGATTTCAGTCGCAGATGTCACTAAAAAAATACTGCAGACCTGTATCCTCTAAGTTTTCAAAGAATGACACGTGTTTGCTGTCACAAGGACTGGCTTATTGGTCTCGTGTCCTTCACGTCGTGAGCCCGTGTGGCATATACACCGCAAGCGAAAGCCGGGCTCTCGATAAGTATCAGTAAGAGCAGACTGTATAGAGGACGACAAAGCGATTCGCATCAGTAGGACTTTATGACAGGCTATACACTAGGGGCTCCTATTGTATCCTAGTAATAGCTTATTGGTGCCACCTTTATGGCCCCGGTTTGACGTGGGATGGTTATGCGAACCATGCAATCGGCATGGTAAAATTTCCAAACTAAGGTAATAGTCTTTATGGATAATTGGCAATTTAGTATTTACAAAGAAATCACAAATGATTTATCGGAAGCACACAATAGAAAAAAACTGTCGAGCTTGGAAACAATATGTTGTACGTTCAGAGTCCCCGAACTGGCCGTCAATATAGAGGGAACTAATTGGAACTGACCCTCAAAGAATAATAGCATAAGTAGCAATGGATCCAAACGCAGTTTAGATGGAGGGTCGATACACATTAACAGATAATAAAAGCTAGCGAGTAACATAAATATTTCGCCTTGAACATATATGATTGGGGTTCCAATTAGCTCGCAAACAAGGCATCAACCAGGATGGGTACATCCTGAAACAGATCGGTGTACAGTTACCCACGACAAGATAGGGTTATAGCGTCGTGATGGCTCAAACAAATAAAATACAGGGTGAGAAACCTTGGAAGAAATGTATGACGTCGGAAACTCAAGTATTTTAATTACCCTCGGAGGGCTCACGAGTACTGAATGAAAATGACGTTCTTACCTCATCCCTTTAGCGTTTCCTGTAAACATAAATTCCAAGAGATAGCTAGCTTAGAGGCCTTGTTCGAAAAGGGCATACAATGATGGCATGCATTGAGTTCCGCGACCTTGGGTACCATCGTATTATGGTTAGTCGCAAAGAAATTAACTGCGAGCGTTTGAGGTCTACTTGGGTGGACGCAGTTGGGTGAGCCTCTTCGCTTCCCACTTCTCTAACTTTGGACGGACTATCAGCACACAGACAAGACAGTGTTCTTGCATCAACCGACACTAAATGCTGACTACACTACTCCATATCCATGTCAGTGGAGCTGACCCTGGTCGAGCATTTGCGAATGCATCGCACTGAGACTGACATACCAGTGCCTGTAGTCCAAGACACACCGGTCGCAATTGTTTCACATATACACAACACCAAAGGGCATCTGTAATCGATTACACTATTCAGTCATAAGCGCCTTCGTGCAAATCTTCGATGAAACCGCAATCCAGAACTTGCCACAACCTGCCACATATCCCTAGGCCAAACATGAATCCTCTCCACATAGCCAAACATGAATCCTCTCCATAGCAAGCATATTTCTTTTCGGCAGAAAGCACATGGTCGGTTTCAAAGTCAGCTTCATGGGGGTACACGCCAAATATCAAAAAATGGACAGGCCATGTGAATGGAAAGCATGTTCTTCGATGTGTCCTGGTAAGCGAATTGAGTAGGACGCATGTAGCCCACGTAAACACGTCAGGCGATGCATCCTATGTCATCACCCCTTGATGTATAGGTTCAGTCAATCGACCGGTGCTTAGGAGACGAATATAGGAGTGAGATCTATAGTGGGTGTCTACTCCCACGGCCTACCAGCGCATTTCTCACTATAACAAATCTGAAACGCTTGAGGCTACCATGACGCGACAACAGCCGTGGCTGGGAAGGTTTTTAATTAGCAGGATAAATCTGTTTTCATGGTTAATACTAGGTGTCTGTGTCAGAACCGGCTTGAAAACTGCGAGACAGGATCAATGGCCTTTTCGTAATGCGCCCCAAGACGATTTCAATAGAATGAC